GGAGATTGCTCTCTCAGTCTCGTCTAACTCAGGATAGTGTGTCGACCAACGTTTACCTGTAAGTGCCTATAATTATTAAACTGTAAAAGTGTTGTATTCTTATTGTGAAATAAAGAGACAATCGTTGGGCTAACCACTCGACGATTCCTTTTTTTTATTCTTGTGCAACTCATTTTACGTGGCAATCGCGTGGTCCCGTGACGTGTACGTCGAACACGTCACGGGAACCCGGCAATATCATTTTGAGGAAGCGGGGGTGCCCCCCTCCGGGGTCCCCACGGCTCTAGAGGCACCAACCACAGGACCGAGTGGACGTAGTGCTGCGAACACCGACGAAACAAACAAATAATTATTCATGACGCCAGCGGTAGGACTGCTGGTTTAATTTATATATTTTAATTGTAATGACTGATTTTATCTTGCTATTTCTTTTATTTTTTTCTTAACAATTCCTCTTAAATAATCTACTTTACTCTTTTTCTTTCGCATCCACTCGGCCCTGGGTCGTGCACAGGAAATTAAATTATATTATTTGGCCGCGTCTTTGTCCTCGTATTCAGTTTAACATCTCTCCGCGAATCTTGGTACAAATGACGGAGCGATACCGTAACGAAAACGAAGACGTGTGGAATTGGACCGAAAAAGATTACACCGGCCCGGCCACACCGTCAATTACCTGCACAGGGGCAACTCACCCTACTCGCGCGTCAGGAGGGGGGCCCATATACAGCCCCCTCGTTTTTATATAGTACTAAGTGAAAGGCCATGAGGCCGCTCGTGACGGGATCCATGTATCAACCCAGTGGGGATATGCCCCACTGGGAACATAGAGTGAATAAAGTAGTAAGATTAGCGGATTAGGTGGAAATTACAAGTCGAGGTCGAAATTGTTAAACAAGAAAATATCATTTTGTGAAAGAGTGTATGAAAGATAATATACATGTGACTCACATGTTTCTGGGCAAAACATGAGAGCGGATTGTTTAACCAAAGCCCTAAGTGGACCGAAACTATATAAAAATATAAAAGAGATTGAGTATCAATAAAACTAGAAGGGGTTGTGTGAGAGGGTAGTCATTATTGACATGAGTGAGTGAGAGAAAGATAGTGAGTGAGCAATGAATAGTAGAGGGGATAAGAATAAAAGAAGAATAACGAGCTAGAGAACAGTTAGTAGTTAGTAGTTAGAGCGATAGCCAACAGAGAAAGAGTAAGAGTGAAAGTAATTACAGAGAGAATAGGAGTGAGAGTGATTCGAACGGAAGAATAAGAGAAAGCTAAATGTTACCCCCTTTTCCACCAACAAAAATATGTAAATATAATGGTTTCTGCCTTCTGATCATTTAGTGGCACAAGTAGGAGGTACTTAATTGATCTTGGATGAAAAGGATAAATTGGTTTCCGTGTTTCGGGATGGGAAATGATCCGATAATGTCGAGTGTATTTTATCATTAGGGTTGTCCGGGCTGTCTGAAATTATGGCTTCTTCGTGCGGTCATATTCTAGTGAGCTTATTTTGTTGGCATATCTTGCAGGTTTTTATATAGTCCATTACGTCCTTGTCTATTCCTTTCCAATAATATTTATTTTTGATTCGTTCAATAGTTTTGTTTTCTCCGAAATGATTGACATTATCGTGCATCTCAAACAATATTTGTTTCTTATCATCGGGACTTATTTCGGTGTAGGTTCGGTGGCTAGGGATATCGAGATGTCTGATCGGTCTTTTGTTAGGAATCTAAGCATCAGTTCGTTGTTACAATGTGCAGTGCTGAGAAGACTTCTCCCAATCCAAGCAGAAATGAGGAAGCAAGAATTAGAGGAGCAAGTCAGAACAAACAAAATACCGTAGCCATGCGAATATAGAATTTGTAACAAAAGAAACATTTCTTGAAATTTTCAGCGAGAGCGCTCCAGTGGAGAAATGACACAGAAAGGAGAAGATGGAAGGAACGGTAACCCATGAACATAACTAACCCTTTCACTACGCCCTCACAAGTCGGTCCATATACACGAAAGACGTATCTATCAATATATACGAATGCCGTAAATATACGCCCTTTACGTTTTTCTTACTGTAACACTGTAACTGTTTTACTGATTGCTTCAATATGGAATTTATCGTCCTATGTAACATAGCAACTGTCTACTGGCATTTGTTTTAATACTGTTCAGTCAATTGTCTTCACATTGTGCAGTTTTCATTGTTGTTCAGAATTGTCTTCACAGAATCTCTACTATGCATAAAATGGCAGGATAAGAGAGAATCTGGATATTGACCAGCTTGCATTACACTGATATGGCAGACACACAGAAGGTTAATTACCGACACAAAAACCGACATGTGTTCAAGAGGCATGTGTACGTTTCATGGAAATTGTCAATAAGATTGATATGGTTATTAGTACCCTTGAATCAAGAAGAAAAAGTTATAAGTGGTACAAAAAATTTTTTTCTCATTTATTAGACGTAAGTATTTAGAACTCGTATGTTTGCATATGTATCAAGTAAAGAATTACCTCTCGCGAAATTTCATTTAAAATTGATTCAACAAATACTTGGAAAATATCTACAAACTTCAAATATGTATCAAGGGAAAAGGAATAGTGATAATCCATTACGTCTTATTGAAAAGCATTTTCCAATTAAATATTTTAATCCGGCTACGAAAAGAAAAAATCAAGCGCGAAAGTGTATGGTATGTACTAAATATAAAATCTGACGGGAAAGTAGATATCAATGCAAAGAATGCAAAGTAGGTTTATGCGTTGATCCATGTTTCAGAATATATCACACACAAATTAATTATTAAATTGTTTCTACTATTTTTATTCGTTTATATTATCTTTGTTCTCATTGTGTTAAAATTGTTAAAATAAATTTGTTCCTCATTATCAATTTTGCATTTTTTTCACGAATTATTATTGAAGGAATGTGCAAATTAAGTAAATTAAAAATAGCTTAGGAAACCACTTAAAATAGATCAGATACTGGATATTTTTAATTTATTTACAATTATGTATTTTTTCAACCTCTAAGAATAGTATCAAATCTCCAGATACTGTTTTGGTCAGTAGTCAGTGGACAACCAGTGTGGAGAAAAAAATATGAAGCATACAAAAAGCCGTTCATTACGCCAACTGTCCATTTGGAAGAGGGTCATTAATGTTATGGGGATGTTTCTCACGGAATGAAGTTGGTAGTTTGGCACAAATTAAAGGAATAATAAATGCTGACAAGTATATTGAAATAATAAATAACGAAAATTTAGAAGAGGCAGTTCTAAAAATGGGTCTCGAAGAAGAATTTATTTTGCAGCAAGACAACGACCCAAAGCACACTGCTAAAAAAACCAGTAAATTTTTTGAGGACTCAAATATTAAATTGTTGGAATGGCCGGCACAAAGTCCGGACTGAATCCAATGGAAAACTTCTGGAGTGTATTGGACTCAAAAGTGCCATTAGAAAAACAAAAGAACAAGCGATAAAAATGACATTGAAAATAGCATCCCACGACGTTTAGAAACAATTATTAAAGCAAAGGATGGACATACTAAATTTTAATTTTATATTTCTTATATATTTTATTACATGTCCACTTATTTTTGTCTCTTGAAAATCAGCTAAATTTTTCTTTAATATACCATAAAGACATATAATATATAATATATAAAACTTGAGTATGTAATAACAGTACTACTTTAATTAAATTTAATTCATATCTATTTCCATTACCTGTCCACTCAATTTTGTCCGTAACTGTATATATATAGTAATCAGCAAGGAAATTATTATTCATTCGTTATTCAACATTTATAGAGAATAGTTTAGTTAATTGATTATAATTTATGTTATCCAATTAAATATATACTTTTATAAAAATAAAATACAGAGTTATTTTTTGAATTTGTTGTATGCTGATTGATTTAAATTACCAATATCGTACCTACAAAATTGACCGACGTGATGGTAAAAGGAAAACATGGCTACACCACATTCACAAATCCACACATGCCCTACTCAACAACAGGAGGAAACTCGTATACCGCCAGCCGAAAAGGCACATATCCCGCCGTTTGTAGAAGCTCCCACAATTGGAGCTATATCTCTACAACATCTCCCATCGTTCAACAGGGAGAATTTTAAACTTTGGTTTCTTCAAGTGAAAGCAGCCATGGCGGGCAGACTCACTAGCAACTCTTAGACGTTTGATATTTTAAATAAATTAGAAGCTGGTGAAGATATAAATAATCTTTCACATAAATATAATGTTTCAAATCGAACGATAAGACGTATTCGACAAAATGCTTTGTCGATACGACAGTTTGCGGAAGAAGATGTTAAGCTCCAAAGAAAAAGAATACGTACATTCACATCTGCTGATATAGACAAAGAATTGTATTCGTGGTTCTTACAATGTCGTTTGATAGGAAACTGAATAACTGACAATATTTTAATAGAAAAGGCAATAACATTCCAAGAAGAAAAGACCGGTCCATCTACCTTCACATCATGTGGCTTTGGAGATATAAGAAAAATTATAATTAAAGTCTTGCAAATATCCACAGTGAAAGCGACAATGCGGACAAAATCTGCTGTAGAAAAATTTAAATTTTACAATGAATTTAAACCCGGTATTAGAAAGCGACAATTAGAAGAGAATTGTAATGGTAAAATTTTCCTGCTAATAAGACAATATTAATGGCCATAAATTACCAGAGGAAGAAATGGACATTTCAGAATCATATTTTTATCGCCCAATACCATATATTATATAATATATTATTACAATGTCTACAAAAAATTGTTGCAACAGAACCAGACATTGCAAATCATACAAAATTTATAACAAATTATTAAAATTCAAAATAATTTTTATTGACTCCTTTTATTATTATTTCTGAAATATTTCTAATATTATTATTCTTGTTATTTAATGTAATTATTAAGCTAATAAAGAATTTTTTTTATAAATTCAGTTGATTTAAGAAATCATCATATATTATAACAGGAAAGAACTGATTAGATTGAATATAAGAAAATTATATATATCCCAGAGAAAATACCTTTATTAAACCTGTATTAATTCTATTTAATAACAATTAGACAATAATTAGCTAATAATTGTCATAGACAGAGTTTTGAATCTAATTTTCTAATAACATTCGTAACTTTTTTAGTAGCTAACATTAAATCGTCGTCTGTAATTTCAAGAGAAAACACAAATCTAACAAATGAATCGGACAATGCCAAACATTTCACGATGACCTGGTCATCTCCACTGCCATCAATTTCTCGCAAACAATTAGCGAACTTTGATGCGTTAACGACGTTGGGATCAACATTCATGAAAACTATATTTGTTTGTACAACATTTAAATCAACTGAAAATACTGACGAGCGGATTTCATTTATCGCAGACGCGAAAGCGTAAGCCCTTTTGTGATCATTGACTAAATTAGGAATATGTTCAAGAGCAACGAGTCCAGCGGCAGCAAGAACACCAACTTGTCTCATACCTCCGCCAAGTACTTTTCTTATTCTTCTTGCATTAGTAATAAATTGCTTGGTCCCACACAAAAGTGAACCTATAGGGGCACCTAAATTGAAATTATTTATTTTATGAAATTATAAATTCATCTGGAATTAGAAATAATTGTATAATTTTGTGTATAATTCAAACTTAATGATACTAATGTTATAGTAAATACTGCGTAATCCTTACTTTGTTTACAATATGTGTATGTACAAGTTTACGTATTCTATTATATCATATTTTCATAATTTGGACTATTGATAACATATAAATTTTCATTCATAGAATTTAACAGAAAAATTGTTAGATTGTAACATATGAAATGGCGTGCGAAATAACTGAACAGTGTTTCGTGCTATTTGAATATGTTATACCTTCAGATCTAAGCTAATTGTAAAATTGGAAGGTGAGCGAAGCATTCAATATCGTAAGATATCCTTACTTTGTGATTTTCAATTCCTTTGACATATCTCTCAAAATTGTGCAAAATTTGGAATTGATTAAACACAGAAAATGCATTATGCATATTATATTTGTATGAAAATGTGGCAATTTCTTTTGCAATTTCATGTTATAAATTTAGTATATTATATAAATATATTTATATATATTTGTGATTATTCTTTAAAAAATTGATGAATATTTTTTAATGAAAGCAACTCTATTAGGTGAAATTTGCTAAGAAATTGATAGCTCACATTTTATTGACATTTTTAAGTCACATTTCATTGAATAATAAGATAAATGCATTGGTAGAAATGAAATGTCGATCGGAGGATTTTTAATTCCCATCACAGAGTATCCATAGTTTATTCATGTAATAATAATGTAGCATTTGTAGCATTTGACTTTTGTTAAAATATTTTTGAAATATATAACATTCTTGAAATATTCATAATTTTTGAATCTCGTGTAAAACTCTAAAGCTACAAATCACATCTTACATTACTAAAAACAATCATATTGTCAAACCTTTCTTTCTTAGATATAAGTGTATGTATGTAATTTTACTTTCAATACACGGAAAATTTTGACGATAGAGATTACCTCAGTTAATCAATTGAGACTAGCTTGTTGAGATTACTTTTTTTTTTATTATTATTTTATATATAATCCTTGCCTAGGCAGCTTAAGATGGCTTCCGATTTACAATGGGTCTGCATTTTTCTTATTTCCTACTTTTATAGCTAATCCTTAGTGTCTACGTCTTATGGATCTAATTTGCCTTTTCCTCATCTACTTGTAGGAACTATAAGTAGAAGTAAAAGTAAAAGTAAAGCAAAAGGTAACAGGTATTACAATGTGAAAAATAAAAAAAAAAAAGAACTTTACTGTCTTCTACTATTGCTTTTTCTTTAGTATTGTTTTGCTGCTTCTTCTTCAGGCTTTTCCCCTCAGCCCTTCTGCATTCCTTTATATGTCTATTCCTCCCAACCCCTCTATCCTTCTATATTTCTCCTTTTTCTTTCCCGCTGTATTCTCTTCATCTACTCTAGCCCTTCCCCGGTCCCCCTCAGCATTTCTTTTACTCTCAAATCTCCTCTCGTGGCCTCACATCTTCCTATCACATGCCCTAATGTCTTCTCTTCCTCTTTGCATATTCTGCACCTTCTACCCTCTTCCTCTCTCCATGTCGCCTTCCTCTAACTTCGTTGCCGCACCTGAAGCTTGCTATCAGGTTTCTTTCTTCCTTTCTTCCCTCATCCTCCGCTTTAGGTATTCTGGCCTTTCTTTCGTTGCAATTTCCTTGTGATGTACTTCGACTCTTCGATCTTTCTTCTCCTGTTCTCCCCTTCCACCTCCTTTACCCTTTTCCTTACTCTCTTTGCAACTCCCTCTGCTTTTCCTTCCTCTTCCTCTCTAACTCATCTCATCCAGTCCTCGCTGATCCTCTTCTTCTTTCTTCCCACCTACTTAGCTTTTTCTCCCCCGTCTGCCTTTCCATCTCCCTTATGCATTCTCTCACTAACTTCTTGTCTGAGCTTCTTGCTCCTTTTTCATATTTAAACGCTCTTCTCACTGCTTTCGTTCGTATTTCTTCTTCTTGTGTCTCTTCTCTCAAGATGTAGTTTGGTGTGACTTTATCCAGCCCTAGGACCCACTTCATATATCTCCAACCTTCCTTCATCATTCCAGCCCTTGATTTCTGCCCCCGTACATCGCCACACTCTCCACTAAGGCCACGAACATCTTTATCCTTCTTTCGAAGTCTTCCTTGAACAACCTTTCTCCAATGTGCCACGTTCGAAATTCCCGAAACAATTACGCAAATCATATTTTTCCTTGGACTTGCTGGATATTATCGAAAATTTATCCGAAACTTTGCAAAGATCGCAAAACCACTCACTACACATACACAAAAGAATACTCCCTACCATTGGACACAAGAATAGCAATCAGCATTCGAAACATTAAAGGAAAGACTTCCACAAGAATAGCAATCCACCTGTACTCGGCTACTCCGACTTCAACGTTCGCCCTAACAACTGACGCAAGTAACGAAGGAATTGGCGCCGTACTTTCACAAGACGATCACCCATGTTGCTACATATCGCGAACACTTAGTAACGCAGAATGAAATTACACAACGACAGAAAAGGAATTGCTCGCGTTTGGGGAATCAAGCGATTACGACAATACCTCCTCGGACGAAAATTCATTATCCAAACTGACCATCAGGCACTCAAATGGTTACACAACGTTAAAGAGCCCTCATCTCGACTAATGCGCTGGAGATTACGATTGGAAAAATATGACTACGAAATTCAATACAAAAAGAGCAAAAAAAAGGAGCTGACACGCTCTTGCAAATACACCCGTTAAAAATTATATCAGACAAACCCTTCACAAAAACCATCAATCTAAAAACAGAAGACCTCGAGACCGAATTTAACGATTGGAAGACTAGAATGAATACTCGCAAAATTCCAGTAAAATTAGTAGCAAACCGAAGTACTTGGACACAGCTAGATTACGAGACGGATTAGGACCCTACAATATTCGAGCATGGTTACAAAAACTAGACAACCTAACCAACAATAAAACCAAAACCATCACTTTTGGAGTACACAGACTAAAACTTCCCGACATAATATTACTAAAACCAATGTTACAATTCACTTGAGAAAATAAACCAATCGAAATCATATAAATCGCTACCGAACCACTCAGAGAATACACACCAGAAGAAAAATTGCAAATCATTAAAGAAAATCACGATTGGCGAAAATAAAACCCTAGAACGAATCAAGACAAAACATCATTGGACTGTAATAGATAATGAAGTTACTGAATATATGAAGAATTGCAACATCTGCCAAACCAACAAATTCACCTGTATAAGACCTAAAGAAGAAATCCTACTTCCCGACACTCTAGAAAATCCACAAACAGAGACAAAATTGCCCTGATTTATTATAGGTCCACTAAAACTCACCACTAAAGGAAATCAATTCATTCTCTTAATACAAGACACCTTAACCAAGTACACCATATCTTCATTCCATTGCCTGAAGGGGCTGAAACAATTATTGACCAATTGATAGAACATTACATCTATACTTTCTCATCTCCCAAACACATACTAACCGAGCAAGGACAAAATTTTATTTGCAAGTTAATGGATTCATTTGTAAAGGCTTCCAAAATCAAACATATTAAAACCACTGCATTCCAACCGCAATCAAATGGATCTCTTGAAAGAGTTCACGAATTCATAAAAGACATATTGCGAACCAACATCGATGAAAACAAAGCCGAATGAGACGAAAATCTAAAACTCATATGGCCTATAATACGACAACACATGCAACCACAGGATTTACACCTTTCGAACTCATCTTTGGAAGAGAAGCAAATATGCCCTCTGCCATATTACTCACACTCAAATTCTCACAAAAGGAACTCTTTCAACTCTGGAAAGACAGACGTACTGAATACCTTACAGCTGCAAAACGCATAACGAATGAAAATAAAAAACGATATAAACGTGACCAAGACAGAAAAATCAGACTTAAATGGCTAGGACCGTACAAAATCCTAGAAACCAAAACACTTAACTATCTATTAGACATACCAAAATCCAAACCCATATTACATAGTACATGGTAACAGATTAAAACCATACCATTTTTGCAGGGAATCATCTCAACAGCATTAAGTTTAACTATAACCCCAATAGGACACGAAAAGGTACTTACAGAAACCATCGGAAAAGCTTTTGTATACCACAGAGAAATTAAAATCACCATAATTTTCCGAACCGATGAACTGTATAACGATGCGGAACTAATTCAAAAATTATACACACCTATCGTAAACACTGCACCAAACATAACTGCGAAGGAACCAGATTTAACATAATAACCACTCGAATAAAAAATCTCGAACGATCCAACAAGCTAAACGCAATAACTCACAGTAGAACTAAAAGAGAACTTCAATATCATTGGATCTGTCTCTAAGACCCTCTTCGGCACTCTTGATGACACTGACCTGAAATTAATCAATGAAAACATAGACAAACTTTTCAACAGTCAAAACAAATTAACACATATAGTCCAAAACCAAACATTAATGTTCAGACAGATTCTTCAAGATGAACATTTTAAATATGTGGGATAGGCAAATTCAGAGAAAGGACCCAGAACTTTCCCCAACAATTGCAACCAGTTGTCCCATAAACTGTAGAGAAAGTTAGGCTTGGGACTTAGGATGCGTTTGTGTGTAAGTGTGTATGTGTGTATCCGTGTAGAAATGGCGAATTTTGTGTAGATGAAGAAAACGGTGAGTATTGAGAAGCGAGCGGGCCAGTATCGAGAAGTCAGACAGTGAGTTGAGAGTTGCACAAGAGAGAAGACAGTGAATTTAGTAGTTAAGGAAATAGTGTCACTTCAATCATTATAACCATTATTAAACCAATTTTCGTTTATTTAACCTTAAATAAACAACTGTTCCTCTATAATTCCTATTAATTGGGAACAAATAGGGGGTCAAGCCGGGATTCCTACAAATATTTAACCACACAAGTAACTACGTAACCAGAACAATTAGCACGAATTGCGAACAACGAAATCTTAGA